ATGGCTGTGGAGGAGGAAATCAGGAACTGCACATCCATTTAATTCCTATGCTTTTCGTAAATACCTAATCTTTTTTCAGGGTGAAGTAATAGCCATGGACAAGATAGCTAACAAGGTGAAAAAAATTAAGCAGAATGCTGAATTGCTACAGTTGAATTGCATTAAGGCATTTTGCTATGACGGAACAAAGGCACTTTCAGTTGAGAAGAGAGGGGATGAACAAGGTAAAGTAAACAACTTGGGCAGTATAACTTTTAGAAGAAAATAGTAATCAGTTTTGCAGTAATAATATTAAACCTGCCACAGGTCTGCAACTCCCTGAAATCTTGGCAGATACCTAGGTTGCTTCAGCACTGTGAATGTTCTTCTATTTTCTGCTCTTTTCTGATTATCAGCTTCTCCATGAAGCAAATGCAAAACTCAAACTTATCTGTCTTTATCACAACCTAATATCCTCAAAGGAAATGCATTCCTTTCCCAGATAATCTCAAAGACTGAAGAAGCCTTAAAGCTTCTTTGATTATAACGTTTAACCCCATACTCTGAATTGTTTGACTTAGTCTGAGAAAAAAAAAATATTTTTGCAGAACTGTTTGGCTATTCTGCCTCAGAATCCTCATCTGTAAAATTAGGTTATTACTCCCAGGAGTGCTGCAAGGTTTAGTTCATTTATGTTTGCTCAGCTGTTCGGGGAAAGTTCTATAGAAACACGGTGTATTATTGTAAGTTAATTTCATTTGCTTTTCTAAAGTGCTGTATTTATGATACTGGTTCTGTTCCCATGATTTAAATGGTATCTCCTGTCTTGATTATTTTTAGCTTGTTGTGCAAAGTATGCTGTTCTTTCTCACTTTGTTTTACCCCAGTCACTGGTTGGCCTAAGTAAGATTCAGGTTGCATAATTCACCTTCCTTGTCCCTATGCCTTGTATAGCTACTATGCAAGGTACATTCTTAATAGTCTTTCTATAAATATAAAATATTGTAGGTGATAGGTAGCACTTACACAGACGAAGAGGTAGCTGCAATACTGAGACATCATGAAAGCTTTTCTGCACGTGCCTGCAATTAAGACATGACATATTTTTAATTTTGTAGTAACGGGTCAGAGGTAGATAAATCAGTAGTGCCAAAATAGAGTCATTTTGCAGTGCTGGAACAAGCTAGGTAGCAGTAGTATGAAGTCACCCATTTGTTTGCACTTGTGACCTAACTTGAATATTTGAGGACTAGAAGGAGAAAAGGCAGTAAAGCAGATACATGGCTCTCTTCCTCACTGGTTACTTGCAGATATATGTACGGAGCCACTTTTGTCTTGGTGATGCTGAGCTGAAGGTCTCTCTAGCACTAAGGTGATGGAAACTTTTCAGCTGCTGAGCCAGTGGGATTCAGATTAAAAGATAGGCTCTGCATATAGAAGTTACATATTCCCTTATCTATCCAGGTAATACTCAGAAATTGTTCTTGTCTTCACAATCCTTGTTTACTGAATTGGGGACAGCATGTGTCACACATTAGAACTTGTAATAGTTCACATTATTACGGAGTGCTGTATTTTGTAGAGATACATATGCATCACAAGAAATAGTTATTGTATAGACAGTCCAATTATTATTATTTAAGGCAGTCTTAATGGTTAACTACAGGCTTCTCTCTAAAGATTTACACACTTGGTTCAGTTATAAGCTGACTGTGGTTCATTACAGCCTTTTCTGTGCAGCTCTGTATCCAGCACCTCTGACCAATCATATCTCAACATTTTTCTTTGATTGCTTTTATGTTTTACTTTCAAAATATTAAATTAAGGTTGAAAAATATTATTGCCTAAAAGGATCAGGTATTGTTTGAGCACACAGAACTGTGAAATTCTTTAGTTTTATGGGAGATTAAATCTACCACCAGCAGTGCTGAGACGTGTCTCTAGCTGAGATCACTTTTGTAGACACCATCTACAGGACATAAATTATTACTGCCTGCTTTTTACAGAAGGACCTCCATTCTTACCAGAGTCATTTGATCGAATTCTTCTTGATGCTCCATGTAGTGGGATGGGACAGAGACCAAACATGGCTTATTCCTCGACTTTAAAGGAAGTAACCTCTTATCAGCCACTACAGCGCAAGCTTTTCACTGTTGTATGTATTAATCGTTGAGTAGATAAGCTATATTGAACATAAATGCTTTTGCAGCATAAAACTTCCTTCACACTGAAAAATGGTCCCTCATTTTTCCTACCTTTTCAGCAGTTAAGTAAAGAATCATAGAAGAGAATCATAGAAGAGAGTGTTAGGATTCAGTTAACTTTCAGCTCCACCTTATCTGTTGCTAGGTGAAGTAAATTCATTGGAGGATGGGAAAGATATATGTAACCCACAGTAAATAAAACACTTTGTATGTGGTTTTTTATTCCTTCAGCTTCATCAGTTTTAGTTTGTAATAATTGCAAGGGTGTAAGTCCCAGAGCGTGTTGGGCTGATGCTGAAAGATAAGATTTCATGAAACTTGTCTAAATTTGAATTATATGTATTCAAAGTGAACCACAGCTCAAAAAGCAGGATAGATATAGCTTCCATGCCAAATACATGGAAACAGGTGACATCTAATATTGCTGATATAAATCTTGTGTATCCAAGGTTGGCAGCAGGTGACAAAAACAGGACTAATCTGTCTGGGATATGTAGAGCTGTGCAAATAACACCTTTTACAAGGTGAATCATCTCAATGACATTAATAAACTGCATGAGCTATAATGCTGATTTGGAAAGAACCTTTTTAATCCATGAGATCTTTACTGTATTCCGTGAGAAGAATTAGTATCCTAATGCCTGTCTTAGGCAGAAAGACTTGAGTTTGTTAAGTGCTAAGCTTGAACAAAATATTATAGCTTAATAGTTTCTAGGTTAATGTTGCTTAATATGCAAGTGTTTGCATTTAAAAATAAGCTGAACTGTTGTTTAATTTTCCCTGTAGGCAGTGAAACTGCTGAAGCCAAGAGGTGTTTTAGTTTATAGCACATGTACAGTTACACTCTCTGAAAATGAGGAGCAAGTTGCTTGGGCCCTGAAAACTTTTCCATGCCTCCAGCTTCAGCCACAGGTAATGGTATTTTCAGGATACTTTACACAATCCAGTGAAGTTCTTTTGGCACTGTAAAGTTACACACTGTAGTTACTATCAATAAATCTCTTTCACTGCATACAATTTTAACTGCTGTGGATAGAAATAACAAGTATTTCTGCGACTTTCTTAAATCTATTTTTGTGCTTAATTGAGCTTCATTTAGGGAACATTAAGTAGTTTCCCTCTGTGTACTGTGGTTGTTTTGATTTGTACAACAGTAATTTAAAACACAACACAAGCAGACAAAAGAGAGTTCAAGCAGCTTAGAATTTCTCTTGCAATTCTTTAATGCAGATAGTTTATTCTCTTTTTTTGCGCAATTACAGGAGAGGTGAAAAATTTTTTATTAATGCTACTGAAACAGCGCAGACTTGCATAACAGATGGGAGATGAGTGGAAAGAATCTTGTGTTTTGCAGAAGGAGAATTTTGTATATATGGGAGCTATTTTTGCATTATTTAAAGGAATGAGGGAATACATTTATTTCAGGCTCAGTGTCCCAAGAATGTATCTTGTCTTCTTTGAAATCAGTGTCTACCATTAAGATGTCTGGGAGGAGGTAATATATAAGGAGACACTAGAATTTTTTATCTATAGCGCATACATTTCAAAATTATCTGTCACCTTTACTAGTATCTTGAGAGAGTTTATCATTAGACTGTATGTGCCTCTGTTCCTCTGTTGACGTGGCGAGTTGGGTGGGTTAGTTATTTATCATCATGGCTTTGAGTAAAAGTGTAATTCTGATACCTGTTTAGCTTAGACATTCTGTGATGACTTGTATTTGTCTTAAGAAGTTTAGATGCATCTTTAAACTGAAATTAAAAAATATATACAACAGGTGTACAATGAGAAATTATATTAAGTCTGGTAAAGATTTAACAGAACTGAAGCTTTTTATAAAAGATTTGTATGTCAAACTTCTTCTGCCTGCTTTCTCACCATCATGTACTAGGAATTTTTCAGTTCCAGCTGTTTCAACTGAGATTATACATTTTACCTAACAGCATAAAAATTGTCCTCGATAAAATGACAAAGCAAAACACAAGCCCTATTAACTCAAATGCAAAATTAATTCTGGTTTAATAGACTTCATCTCACCAGTAATATCAGGCTTGAATAAAGCACTAGTTTTCACACACAAATGCCGTATCTGTAAAAATTAAGATCTTGTGTATAGTACATTTTAAATGAGATGACACTGAATTGTTTACCCCCAGCTACTTTATAGTATCTTACAACCAATTACCCAGTAGTGTAAACTAAGTTGATCTTTTCCAATGAACAGGAAACTAGAGTCTAAGGTTGACTTACCTCATGTTCCTTTCTGTATTTCCCATACTCTTTAGTCTCTCAGTGGCACCTGCATTGTACCCAGTCCACTGTCTCCCACTTTCTAACTTTGTCAACAGATCCTGGAATCATGTTGGGCAGGAAAAAACAGGAGATGGAGCTGTAGGTGTTGATCTCATAGGTGGAGGTTACTGTATGGCTGCTGATCCTTTGTGCAGACTTACTTCCTCTTAGGAGTTTACACAGGAGGTAATGTAGATCAGCCTAAATGCAGTTAACTTAACTGGAAGGAAAAAGGAAAAGGTAGAGGAAAAAACTGGTCTGTCTTTGAGCAAGCTGCTTCCCTTTCCATCCATTACCTTACTTCAAGTTGCCACCCCTGTCTCCCTTTGTTATTTTTTGTCAATTTGCAATAGACAAGTCTTTTTGTCTCTTACTTGGAAAGCACCGAAATCCCACCGAGGGAAAGGAAGAGAAGGCTGCAACCTCTTGGTTGCCTAGTTGTACAGCACACAGTACGTGGTTAAGGAACTAACACTGGGTGAGCTCATGTGCTACCAAACCATGGTGGCTCAAAAAACGCTCTGCCGTAGGCTGCATTATAGACTACGCTAGACTAGATTTACAAAGGAGAGCTATTTTTGTTACTGTAGAGCCAGCTTTTGCACATTTTGTTCTATCTCCTTACTGAATGCATTGAAAGAACAATCCAGCTAAGAATTATACTTTTCCAAGAATCAGCGTATTAAATAAAAAGCACAAGAAATGCTGAGAAAGGGTTGTGATTTTAAGCCCTTCTCCTTTCCATTAATTTGATACCAAATGTCATCTTCTGAATTCGGATGCCTAACCTGTTCCTTTCTTTCTCTGCCTCATACTTACGTGTTAGGGGTGGTAACAGTAGTCCCATTTACCTGTTAGTCTAATTACATGACAGATAATCTGAAGCTCAGATTTTTCTGCTGCATCATCTTCCCAAACGGTGCCTCTTCAGGCAGTAAAGTATTCTCGGCTGGGGCTTTCAGTCTCTCCATATGAAGCTTTTTAACATGAAGAATCCATGTATTTCTACTACTGTTACTGAGTATATTAGTAACTGGCTAAGGAATTGCTATTTTTGACTTAACTCATAGTTACTATTAGTCAGGACACAGAAGCACTGCATCATTTAAAAGTGAAAACCTAAACCCTTTAGAACTTAGTATCATCTGATGGTAACAGATGTCCTGTGATGTTTCAGTCCTTTGAGTAATGAATTGGTTTAGACCTGTGCACCTGTCCTCAGTAAGTGCTCTAAACTACAGGGCTAAAGTGGCTTAGGTGCACCACCACCTCCTCAAAGTACGTTGGACCTTGTGTATGTGCTTGTGTACACACTGGCCAGATGAAGGCAAGAAAAGAAGGGCCACATTACTTCTAAATCCTCCTTGGTGTGAATGATACTAACCTAGCTTGTCCATGTTAAGAGTTAGGCAGCTCTGCATATCCTCATTTAGGACAACAGGAACTTCCTTGATGCAATAATTTGCTTTTCTTTGTTACTTAAAAAGGAACCTCATATTGGAGGAGAAGGCATGAGGGGCGCTGGACTGTCACCTGATCAGTTGAAACTGCTGCAGAGATTTGATCCATCTGCTGTGACGTTGCGAGGAACGGATATTAATTCTTTGCAAGATTCCAGGGAAGATGATCTGATTTCACTGGCAAATAAGGACTGTATAGGATTTTTTATTGCAAAATTTATTAAATCAAGCAGTAAATAAACATTTAGGAATGCAACCTGAAAAAATACTTCTGTGAGTCTAAGAACAGTTCAGATGTGAAGTCTGTTTCTTCCTGCTGCAACGTTGCCAAGCCGACGGGCTGCCGGCAGGGTTGCCATGGCAGCAGTGAAATCTGCCAAATGCTCTGCTGGGAAAGAGCCACAGGTTGCAGAAAGTAAGTTATGCCTGGGGGAAGGGTCGTATCATTTTTAAGTCTCTATTTACAGCAGGTCAGTTGTGATAGTTTCTGTTCCAGCTAAAAACCAGGACATCGGTGCATGAATGGCAAGTATGTATGTTCAGTCATACTGCGAAGTGAGTGGCTTACCTAGTGCACCAAGTGCAGAAGCAGGGTATCTCTGGGAGGGGCAGGAAGCTACCTTATGAAATGCAAACATAAATAAAATAGACAGGCACTACTGTGAATTTTGGAAAAGGTAGGTTCTGTGGAGGTTTACCAATAGTTAATGCTTCTTTAAATAGTGCTTCATGAAACACCGTAACATTTTACAAATAACTGGTTTATAAATTGATACTTAGAACCTCATTTCTCTTTTATTTTAATACAAGCAAGATTCTCTGTACACAATAGTATATACACAAAATACGATTAGGCTTCGTAGCATGTCTTTTATAGCAGCATGAATATATTAAACCATCTCACTCTGGGAATGTACTTAAATATTGTTTCAACATCAAACTTTCCATGCATAAACTGTACTGGTTCTGAAGTAGCCCATTTGACTGGCTGACAAGTGACAATTTTGAAATCAAACATTTGCAAAAGAAGGGGCTACAGTTGCAATTAATATATCAAAAGACAGAAAACAATGCATAATACCATCTGAAATGTTGTAAATCACCTCTCAAACAACTAATAATATTAACTATTGGCTAGAAAGCATCACCTGCTAAAATCATATGAAAATTGAAACTGGGGAAGCATGCTAAGGTGAACTGACTTAATACACTGCTCAAAGTGTTAATAATCCACATTTTAAAAAATGTGTTAGATGTATTTGGAAATTCTGCTTCAGTTCCAGAGATGTTCTCCATTTGAACAGTATTCTCTTTTCTTAGTACTGCTGGAACTGACAATAGCACTGAAATTAGAGGGGAGAGGTAAGTACAATTCAAAAACGTAAACTGACATCTGTGTGTGTTTGGTATTTTCCTCTTACTCATCAATTTCTAGTTTTTAAAAGCATTATCTAAAAAGTGTCTGTCTTTTCACACGTAACTATTTGGTTGGATTAAAAAGAATGATACTTTCAAAATTTGTCTATACTGTCAGAAGTGCTTTTTGCATTTGCTTGCAATCAAAACAATTTATACGATTCTGGTTCTCAGTAGCCTGGTTGTTTACTTGTATTTGCTATAAATGTTTTGATACAGTATGTTTTCTGCTGTTCTTAAATAAAGCAAATGTCCCTTCTTCTGTTCTGCCAAGGTTGGCTAGTACATACTCTGTAGGGCCTATCCTGGCAGGATAGGAGGATGGAATTCTTCTCTACTACTTGTCTACTTTTGTTGGTCACTCCTTGCCATTAACTACAACATATCTAAAGAAGATTTAAAGTAACTTTGTTTCATCAGTAGTAGGTGAGGTATCCTATTTAGAATCATGATAGTTTATACTATCAATTACAGTCTGTTTAGTCTAAATATGGCTAAAATAATTACTTGGTAAGAAAAGGGATTAGTCTTTTATTGTAAGTACACATTGAACTCTCTCAGTTCTAGTAAAAAAGCATTTTCTTTTTGCAGAATATATAAATTCTGTAAACATTAATCAGCACACGCAGACTACACACAGAAATTTGCGTATGCATATAAAGTAAGGAACTTTGCCTCCAGTTTCAGCAGCAGGAGTTGTGCAATGCTGAATTTGAAAGAATTAAGATTGCTGAATTTTTACTGGAAGATTTGTTGAGACTTTCCCCGATTTCTTTAGTTTTGAATGATGAACAGGCTTTTCAAGGTGATCTCACTTGGTTTTATGAGAGAAATTTCTTGGGGTATGGGGGAGAAAAAGGAACTGACTTTTATTAGATTCCAGTGTAATTGCAGACCAGAGTTCATCTGAAAAAAATTACTAATATCTGAACTTTAACTACTTGAGTTGTTTCTGACAAAGACAACTGCTAGACTTAAAAGAACACTTAGCATATTAAAGGAATAAGCCTCAGCTGTTTCCCATAGGCCCCTCTCTCTGTTGGTAACTGGAGAGTGGGTGGAGGGAGAGAGACTTCTCCATCAGTCAGTTCAGAACAGAAACTCAGTCCAAATCATCCCTTGAAGGAGCCAGCATCCTTCCTTTGACTACAGGCTCGGCTAAGTTAGATGACTAAAGTTGGATGGACGCCCTTCTTCTTTTCCAGTCTTACTGTGACTTTTAGCAGTGCAGGAATACTTTTTCATTGTCACAGTTTTGTTGTATGGGGTATATATATTTTTATTACATAATATAATTACTTTCCCAATAAGAATGTTTTACACACTGAATCATTACGCCTCACTGTTTGGTGCTGAAGCACAATTGAATATATATATTTTTATATATATATATATACACACACATTATATAAGATATTTATATATTAAATTTAAAAAAAAAATTACTGTCATTGTAATGAAAGATTAACCCTACAAAACAGATAGATTAGGCATGCATTCAGATCCTGTCTTTAAGAAAAAGTCTGAAAAGTAGTTTTCTGTATTTGCAGAAATAGTGATTAGTAATAGTGCCAAATCTAAATATTTATCTTGGTCAATATAAAGATACTAAAATAGGCAGCCTAGTATATAGTAGGAAATTATTGTACAGCTTTTTTCTGTTTGAGTGTCATGGAGTCCACCAATTTTTAGGTCATAAGATTTCATATGCTTTTTAAGGAAAAGGGAATATTTTAGTAAGAAATAGGCTGGTGATGGTGATCAACAAGAAATTACTTTGGAGTGGGTAGTTTAAAATATGAAGAACTTTCTTTTTATGTTAAATTGTTCATGACTAAAAAATCCCATTTTGTAGTGCTAGAATTCACTGAAGAGTAGGTATGCATGATAGGTAAAAGGGGTAAGAATAAGGTAAGAAAAGAGAACAGAGTTAGAAGAACCAGCTTAATCTCTATTGTATCTGATATCTTCTTTGGGGCTGTGTAGGAACACATCTCTAAGGAGGTAAGTTATAAAAAGAAACTGTCGATAAAACTACTGTAAGCTCATATGTAACAGTTTGTTATATAAAAGTGGGGAAATAAATTATAGAAAAATTGCAAGCAATAAATATGATTGATTAACATTTGATTAAAAACATTCACAATAAAAATGGCATCCACATATTTTACAGATGATAGAAGAACTAAAATTTTGGTGAAAGATCTGCAATAAAGAAATAAATATAAATAACTGTACACCAGAAATGTTATATTACACTCTGAAAAATAATTTCTCTGTTCTTCCTCTAGACTATGTAATAAAGTTTTTTGCTATGTGCTTTATTTCCATGGACAGAATAGAATTAAAGTCAAAAGCATTTGGGCAATAGCTTTCAGCCTGATGTGTTAAAACCATCAGAGGTCACATATCACCACAAAACAAAATAAATCTTGAAGAGGCCTTAGTGACTCACACAGGAGGTGGTTCACACTAACCTTTTTACTTTGGACAGACACTGGTTAAAAGCAGTCAGACCAATCACTGCATTCCGGCTAAGGGAATGATAATGGACCATATTAAAACCTCTGCTATTTTCACAGAATGTGAATATGACTTTACAAACCAACTGAGCTTGAAAATGATAATAACTAACAAATTCATAAAAGACAGTAAGTATTAAGGGGCAGGGTATTAGACCTGGGCAGGAACTGCATGTATAGGATGAGCAACCAGATAACACAGAGAAGTGAAAATAGGTCTCTACTTTTATTCAGGGTTTGATGAGTGATTTCATTTCCTTATCCTCCATTTATAATAAGGGCTATAGGTTAAGACTTTACAGCTTTCTGTGAAAACAGGTACCCCACTCAAACTCACTGTAGCTTTAAAACAAGTCTTCATTAATGAGGGCCAAATCCTTAGGAGAAATTATCTATTTAATATTCCACCTTGACAAGCAAAAACTATGTAACTCTTCTCAAATTCTGAACTCTGGATGCCAGACACAGAATAGGAATTTGTGAGTATTCTAGAAGAAGGTTTTATGGATCTGTAACTTTTAAAATTTCTAGTCAGTAGAGAAAACTTACGGATCAATTTAAAAATAGTTTCTTTCAGCTTTAACTCCTACTGATGCTGCCTTTGTGCACAAACCTGTCTGTTTGTTCATCCCCACTGTCCTGTCCCTTAACAGGTCTGGAGACTGTTACTCTCCCCTCCTTCCAGTCCCTCCTCGAGAATTCTTTCTTCCTTGATGTCTGTGTGACACTAAACAACTGTCAGAGGATAGACTTGGGCTGCTGAACAGCACCAATGTATATTCATGTGAAAAGACATAAAAAAAAAAGTTAACGTAGCATAACACGTGAACGATAAAATACATCCCATTCCTTCCATATACTGAAATTCTTTAGAAAAATACAGAGCAAGAACTGACAAGACCTATGTATCCCTAACTATTTTATCTTCCTCCCTTTCCTTCTGTCTCACTAGTTTTATTATCTTTTTAGCTCATCTGAATAGAAATTTTACAGGTTGTTTTGTACCACACATACATAAGATGACTCTGGAGCTCACTGGGACCTCTACATTTCCTCAAATTCAAAGCTCCTGAAACCAGATACAGAAATATGAACTCATTAGTATCCTAATGCAAACAATAATATTAAACTCTCTATTGGCAAAACTTTGCAAAGACATCACAATAACCTTTGATATGTCCTCCAGCTGGAGTATTTTTAAAGCTTCTTATTGAAATAATTCTGTTAAAGTGCTTTTCAAAGTAGTGCTCAGCAGGCAGGTGGTATTGTGCAATATGTGTAGTACAAGCTCACACTACAAATGATTTGTCACTCAATAACTGAAGGAAAGGATCTTAGCAAGGCTAATAAAATCTACTGAGTGAGTCTGCCTAAGAAATGTGTGTATTTGTTAGTATGTTGTCTATACATAATTAGCAGCACTATACAAAACATTATCTCATTAGTTGGATTGGAACATGCCTTTTTTTTGTGAGAAGATACTTCTATTCCATAAATCAATATATAGACCATATTAGGTCTTGGACTATGCTCTTTATTTTCTCATTTATTTGTCTATACATGACTACCTACTCCACGGTTTTCATACAATACTCGGTGGTTTGAAATTCTGCCAAACATTCCTTAAAAAAAATACTTTAAGAAAGGTGGAAAATAAACACTCTTTGGAGCAAAACTAAAAAAAAGAAAAAAAAAAAGAAAAATTTAAGGTATTGAAGTGGAGTCCATAGACTCCACTTGTCGGAGGACACAGCTGCCACAGAACAGTTGTAGGGAGCAACAGCATTTATTGAAGCTGGTAAATAGCTAAAGCCAGGCTATATAGAGCAACGATGATATAACTTCTCTTCCCATTTGTGTAGTATCTGATATGATTCAAACAACAAAGTCTTTCAATGTCATTTTCCACTGATACCCTGAAAATCCTCTCGTATCAAAAGTCACTGTTTATATATTGTTATATATCCATTTAGTAATACAGCAGGTCTACTTACCTATGCTGCCTTTGTCTACAGCGATGTTTAGAAAAAATGCCCTTTTCCTTGTGTTCCCCACAGTTCATCTTTCAGCCAAATCCTACCCTTGAATAACCACAACAGTCAGCAGCAATGGGAGGAATGGGCAGAGATCCGACAGCAGAATTTCACCCTCTTACATTGTTGTAAAAAATGCACATAAAGCATCAGGGACAGGGGTGGGAGAGGGAGGACAAAGTATGTTTAAGGGAGTTAAACTGAATTGCTTGGATGCTGGAATAGGAGCTTGGAGAAAACGTGCACCTGCCACATATCATGTTATCCATTTCACTAAAATGATATTAAAAATCTGGCAATGCTGATATTCCCAGAATTAAAATAATAAATAAAAATAAATTCCAGCTAAATTAATTATTCTCCCACTACAATCTTTATATAATGTGCTATTTACAGTGAAATACAAAAAGTATTTCGTTCATACAATTACTACAAAGACTACATGTGATGCAGAACAGCTTTTACACTAGGCAAGGGTATGGAACCTGTAGTAAAAAATAACAGTGACTCTCCCCCCACTTACCAGTGCAACAGGTGTTCAATGCAAAACAAACTGTGATCACTCCCTTTGATTTCAATGCATTTTTTTCCAGCAAGCTCGGAACAGAGTATTTTGTCACAGTCATTTTTCTAAGCCCTCACCAGCAGCCACAACAGTTTAGGTGAAGGAAAAGCAGTGAGCTGGCTGCAAAGTGGGAATGCAGAGGAACTGGCAAGTGTAAAAAAAGTGGAGAAGCTACAAAAATTTATTTTCCAACAACATAACTCTCCACAAGCTGTGTAAACTTTTCTTACTAAAACAAATACTCTAAAACACAAAGATTTTACATTTCCAGTGAAACACTCACAGTAACATTTGCCTGTTTTTACTCTCCTGAAGTCTCAACAAAGAGCCAGCAGATTTATGCTTTCTCAATTACCTGGGTCAGTAAACTCCCTCATATTCCCTGACCACAATTTGGATTTTTAAATTAATAGACAGAATGAAGAAACAGACTTTTTTGGCTTCTGAGTAACCTTTGTTTTCTTCAGTAGATTCTCACACTTCGCTGCCTAACATGCACATGCACACGTACGTCCATCCACCACCCACCCACTCACATACACACCTCTGTCTTATGTGCTCTATTATTCTGACAACAGAACAAAAATTAAGCTGTGTCCATTGCAATTTTGTGACCTGTACAGAGAAGAACAATTTGTAGTGGTAAGTTCGTTATCTTTATGATAAATTTAAACTGCAAAATCGGGTTTGCAAGGACAGCATAAGGTATAAGAGTTAGACCCTTTATCTCAAGTACTCATTCGTATTTACAATAAGTATAAGCTTTCTGCTACAGAAGAAAAAGTATTTAGGTTGAACACTGTTACAGATTTCCTAAATGAGGCTAGTTCCAGTTGCCAGTAATTCAAAAGCAAATCTGCTGACTTGGCATTAGGACTCTCAAACAGTGTGATCAAACTTATATAGTAAGAAGGTGTCTGCAGAAATAACATTTATAAACTGTATATACAGTACACAGTACTAGTACATAGAAAATAGATTTTGACTTTATGGATCCCCTGTGTGTAAGGCAAGACTGAATTCAGTCTTTAAATGGAGTCCACCAGAGGTACAAGCAACAGATAGCGGCTTTTAAATCAATATGCAAATCAAGTGCATACAAATTAAAAATCAGAGCAGACAAAAAGTTTTAGATTTTTTATGTGCTGATTCTGGCTTGCTGAATACATGGGAAGTTATTAAACATCAAATGTAACTTTTTTTAAAAAACACTAACAACACCTTGATGGCAACAGATATTGTTCAAGTGGCAGTTACCAAAAAACAGCTTGAAAAATGGCATAGTACAACATCAGGAACTCTGCAGTTGTACTATGCTAATTCATATAGCACTAACCAAAAAAATAAGTATATGAATATTCTATTTCATGCTATTGCTATGCAAGCAACAGCAATACAAATCAGCATACAGAAGGATACCATATGTTCTGCAATGAAGAACCCAAAGATATTTTCAAAGGGCATTGTTACAAGACTTCAAAGAAACACAAGACTGCCGGAGGCAAAAGTTACTGACGGATGTAAACATCCCTGTTCCATTCTCCTGCGTCGTTACGTTTTTTTGATATCACTTCCCCATCTTTGTCACAATATTGGTCCCTTGATTTATGACGACTACGCTGTTTGTTGCATTCGTTGTGGTCCTGCTCGCGGTCCCTCTCCTTAGAGCGATGCCTTGATTCTCTATGTCTGTGATCACTGCTCCCGTGGGACTCGTCTCTATGATTGTGATCTCTGTGAGAATCGTAGTGGTCACCGTGCTCATGTGAGTAGTCCTCCTTTGGCTCAACGTAAGCCGAATCTCTGCTGTCTTGTGTTTCTGAGTCAAAAGTTTCTTGCCTAGAAAGGCCTCTAACACCACTGCGATGGTTGTGGTGTTGGCTTGAGGAAGAGCGATGCTGGGATTTCTTGATGGGTTCAACCCGTGCTTCCTCTTCAATTTGTGAACTGCCGCGTTCAGGGACTGAATGGTCATTCCTCTGGTCTCCTTGAGATCCCTGCTATCACAACCAGCAGTAAGTTCACATACATGCAGTACACATTTAAAAATTTTCCCCAGTATCAAATTCAACTAGAAAGTATCATGAAACCAATACAATTTAAAAACACGACAATCCATTTAAAAGCTAAACTAGGAAAAAAAATAAAAATTAAACTTTTACTGAAAATTCAGTATTATAATACAAACAATTCCTTTCACCTTAATCAGCATAGAGGGTGGCACTTGGGTTATTCTGTGACACTTTCTAATCTCCTGTGATGTTTCTGACAGTTAGCAATAATTGTCTACCACACTCCAAACAAAAAGGGAGCATGCAGAAGCAGGACAAACTGCAGAAAAATTAAAAAGGACGTATCATGCTGGGAGAGGGCAGGTATTAGTTGAGAGTTTAGAGATGACTGCTTGGAAACAGCCACTATGGAAAGCAATTTTAGAGGGCTGAGGAGGTAGATTCCAGCAGAGATTCAAAGTACAAAACCTCGGCTATTTTAGAGAAGCTTTTTTTTTTTTAAAGGAAAAAAAAAATGCAATTGAAGCTGGTATGAATAAAGTTTGTATTATGATACTAATATTATCACTGACCTTCTGTTTTTCTCAGCAATAATTTGATTTCTTCATGGTAATGAAAAATTAAACTTTGACCTCATAATTTTAAGAGCTCAAGAATACAGACCATTGCCAAGGAAAGCAGGAGGAGAGCAATACTGTCACCTAAAGAATTTCCCAGCACACCACTACTACAAAAAGACTGAAATAAAAATTACCAGGTAATATCAAACCTACTCTTCACCAGCATAATGATTTGAATTCACTGCAAAATGAACAAGTGGCATTATTTATCTCATTTGGGGGTTTCATTACATTAACCTGCTTTTGTTCCCAAACCACAGCCAAAGATTTTTCAAGCTAATTGCAAATTTTTATGTAATAGTTTATGGTGAAATTGAATTCTCCTTGTCACATGAGGTGTAGAATGTCAAGGTAAAATAATATCTACTGGCACAAAATTAAAGTAGGTTTTAATGGAGTTATACAGTCATTTGTTTGTGAAACTGCTCTGAATTTACCCAAGGTAGTCTAAGGTTTGCCCCCCTATGTTCAGAGTTGTCTAAAAATACTGATTGCCTCGAGGGCAGCTCATGAACGCATCTCCTTTCTGTCTTTGTATGTTGCAGAAAAGAGCTCAGGGAAGGAGGAAATTTTCTCCTTCAGCCACAGATCCTGCCAGGTGGTTCTCCTAGCAACCCAAAAAGTAAAATAACAGGAAACTGGATGGGAACAAATTTGCATTTTATCAGAAACTTATAAAAAGCAACATATTTCAAATCAGCAATTTGATAAATATGACAAGTTTTCATTTTCTAGGACAACATTTTGTACTGTAAACTTCACAGTGACTACCTGGATTGCTCCATGTGTTCCTAAATTTGAAACAAATTATATAGATGACAACAAGGTAACGGAATCAGCAGTCAAATTTCTTTTTTGTTCTTTTTTTTTTCTTTTACGGTTCTCAAGATGATTCTCATTTGCCAGAAAAGGAATATAAATATTGTAAACATGAATAGATGTGTTCAAGGTGAACAGAAGTGACTCAATGGAGCAGAATTACAAATGGAATCAAATGAAAAGCTAAAAAGTCTAAAGCAATGCCTGCTTTGGATGTGTAAACACATTTTTATTAGTTCACAACCTTGACTGGTTTTAAGGCATATAAACTGGGTACACACGTGAAACCCTTTAATTCTCACATGGTCAAATGCCCAATATGTATGTACCTACATATATATAATCATGACTAATAAAATCTGTCATTGCCATGCTTTGAGAACAAATGCAAAATTTGAATCTGCTTTGAACAATGCTACTTTTACAAACTCAGATGCATCTTCTCTGCTATAATGAGTACGTGTGAAGGAGCACAATCAATAAATTTAGAACCAATACCTGGAATTTCAGAATAGTGTTAGGGATATTAGGATTTATGTGCAAATTCAGGGACGGTAACTTTCCCTAAATATTACAGGGACACTGAGCAGGTCATGTTTGAATCTTGATTAGGGTCTGGCTTGTGGTTCATAACCAAATTAGGGCTCTCATTTGGATTAGATTCCGCAGTGCAGGAATTTTATGACCCAATCTCATAAGGTTTTTTGCCTAAAACGGAGAAAGTTTCATATAAGCCCATTTCATTATTCAGGTTGCAATTTCAAGGAAGTAGGGGTCCTTGGAAAGACGTTTAAGCAGTGTTGAAAGAGGAGAGAGAGAAGTCTATGTCCACACAGTCAGTTTGGTTTGCTCCCTGTTTCCATCCAGTGGTCCCTAATTGCCTGCACTGCACTGCACGTGTGTGAGGTTGCTCCAGTATTCCCTTTGGAATTAGCCAACTATTTCACTACAAGAGGAAACCTAAGAATAGTTGTCAGGGCAGTTTGTTCCAAAGATCTCCATCAGATAGACAGGAGGTGTATGCTCTCCACCAACTTCATTTTAAACAGTCCCAAGATGCCTCACACCTTCAAGCACCCTGTGCTGTGTACTGCACACACAGTCAGGATCATTGCTATAAAAATACCACTCTGGCAGCTAGCAACACAAATCTCTCATTACAACATAGTCCTGGGACTGAAAAACTGCAAAAAACAATTACATCTCATGGCAAAGGGGTGCTGCATTGGACCCAGGGGAGAATGACTCAAATACTTTGCAGTGCAGACATGTCCTCTCCAGGCCAAATGGCTGGTGACATGGTTTTTCTCTGCAGAACAGTCCACAAAAATGGCGCATAGACTAAATTCTCCAAATAGAGGGTCTTAACACTATTGAAAGAATGGGTTCAGCCCCTGTGATTAGCAAATAAACCCATTCTATTCCAAGACTGTGACAGGCTCAGGTTTGAGATGTCAGCTGAAAATGTATCATAGGAAAATTAAACAAAAGGAACGTGAAAGTTGTATGTTCCATAAGGGACCTCTGTTGCTTCACACTCTTGGGTTAGTAGACCTACAAACAAATACATTCTAATTTTTAGTCTTTAAAATAAAAATCTATTCATTCGTAAGGAAATAGCACAACATTCAGAAAAGTGTTACTAAAACTCTGTATAGTTCCTCCAGAGAATGTGGTTAATAAAATGAGTAAAAGTGAACTATAAATCCACACCCAAAGGTATAAAAAAAACTTGAGCAAAGTAATAAACACATCTACAAAACAAAGAAAGTTTATCTAGCAAGTCTGCACACAACAATACTGAATTTCATACTCAGAAATTCTTCCAGCTCACAATTTTTTCAGGGTGTTTCAGCTCTGAGGACAGAAAAAAAGGCAGAAATGAGCTACAGCTTACAGTCTCTTTTCCTGAAACTGCTTTTGAAAGCAAGAGAAGGAGATACCTTGCAAGGTGGCTGTAGCAATTTTTCTTGTTAAAGAACAAACCTGTCAAGTCTGTGGTCCTCTAATGGGAAATAAATTCTTTGACACAAAAAATTGTTTTGCAAGACAATAAAAACAAAAAATCAATTTTTTGTCATTTTAATTTTGTTTTTTTTCTTTTATTTTTCTATAAGGAGGCATTTTTGTTAGCCGAAGTTATGAATTCTAACTGACATATGTATGTAACTTATGGGCATATATGGAACTTAGGTGGAAATTTAGATGTAGTAAGTAATTATTTGAGCTGGGACAGATGTACTTTAACCCCCACTGGGATGATCTCAGCCTCAAGGCATCGCTCACTATTTAAAATTAAGTAGCATCTTTAAAGACCTAATTTCCTGCTATGCAACACATTTACAAAGAAGAGGATCTCCTTATGCTGAAAACCTTAATACAATTATACAAAGCAAAAGCTGAAGGAGAAAAGAGAGGACGAAATATGCCCAAAGTCAACAAGCAGGTCAGTGTGGAGGTGGGAATAAAGCTTAATTTTCCCAGCTTGCTAGACAGAACCCTTGCTGTTCAGAACATGCTGCCTCTTAAGGTCTTTCTGCACAATGTGCAGCAGGTTTTATGTAAGAGTTTGGCTTGAAAGAAGTATGTCCTTTTCACAGCAATAGCCAATGAATAAAAGAACAAAGGGAACACTGGAAGGGCCCCTTTGACCTTAAGACTTCACTAATACAGTCATTCTCAGCCTCTACAACTCTATTGCCTGTGGGGAGATAGTAACAGATTCCGTCCAACATTTGTGGATCTGCTCTGTACATAACCTAATTTGTCATGCAAGGCCTCTGGGGCTGGGATTTGCCTGTTAGTGGTAGTGGGTCCATCAGTCAGAGAGTTACCAGAGCCTGCAACGTGCATAGTATTAGCCCAGTTTTACTCCTCTGATTGGATTACATGTGGCCAGCTACAAAAATGCTCGTGGCTGATACAGTGGTGTCCTAGACACTGTAAAATCTTAAGTATTCTACTTCACATCACCATATGTTTTCAGTCAGGCTGGCTTAGTCCTTGGAATCAAAACCAACACCCGAGTCAATATGCAAACACATGCTACTCTGAATACAATAGCAATAATAATAACGTGCCTCTATTTGCCTTTTATACTGAAAATGGGTGAATGTCTACTGAAAAAGCTCTTTCTCTATCAACAACAGTAAGACATATTCAGCATATTCTACTATCAGACTACGAATGTGCTTTGGAAGAGAAAGAAGTTGATAGCAAAAAAAAAAAAAAAAAAAAAAAAAATGGCATAAAAACTGTACCTGTAAATTAATATTTGGACCTGGGCTAATAGGAAGAGTGGCTGTTGCAAGTGTGCGAGTGAGAAGCTGATTAGGAGGATTGCTGCTAGGTGGATGTGTGGCCTTCCAGTAGGCTTCCAGATAGTCAGCAAGGTGCTCACAAGCATCTTCAAGCTGGTTCTCATCAAGAATTACATCGAACATTTCCTGATAAAGGAAAGGTTTTAGTGAGAATAACCACCAGCTAAAGGGAGATCAGCTAGAGACAATGATGGCCACACTTTCCATTCATCAAAAATGAACCACATTTCTAATGCTTGTGTTAAGATATTTCACTTTTTTTTTTTTTTAAATGGAATTGATACAAAAGGCAGCAATCATAACTAGCACTAACTTGAACAAATCTTAAAACTCAGATGTCCAGAAAGAAAGGCTAAATATTGAAGTTTTTAGCTATTGGAACAAAATAGAATGGCAAGAAAAGGGATTCACTCCCTATATCTAGAATAACTAAGAGAAAACTAAGACAAACTAAGGCCAGTAACTAATAACATTTATAAACACAAGGAGTACAGATCATCTAGTTTCCAAGTGTTGCACAAATATTAGCTAAGACATTAGTCATACAGTCTAACTTTAGACATCTGAAGTTAGGAGGCAAGTTTCCTCCATTCCTTTCCTGGTCAGGGAGAGAAAAGTACTCCTGAAGGCATCTTTGAGAGCCTACAGTGGTCTCTAGCATGCTCCATTGACTTCTTGAAGAACTGAGAAGACTAGTCTCAGCTGAGATGTTTGAACTTAAATGTTGAAAACATTCCCCTCACTCAGTTCCGTAATTATGGCAAGTTCCCATATCTGCAACTGAACTGAACCTTAATCTTCTGGTCTCTTACCCATACTCTTGACAGTTAAGTATGCAGGTAATAAGGCTTGCCATGTTTAAAACACAGCTGGGGTCTCATCATCTGCATGTTATAGGTGGAAATTGAGATAATTTTCTTCAGTGCACATCAAGAGAAGAAATGCAGAGCTCTTAGCTATGCAGCTGTGGTGACATATGCCCCAGGGGAGCTACCCAAACCAGCAGCCTTATCATAAACTGGCAGAGATAAAGCACATCACTAAGAGGGTTCATTTTTAGACCAATAACCCCAAAAGAATTATCAAGTAAAACAAGTGCTCTGTTTGTTAAAGCAATGAATGTTTCAGCACACATCATAATAATTGCTTGTGATTAGGACTGGTTTTTCCCTGCACACTTGTGCAGAGCCCAGAGACCTCAGGCTTTCTGTAAAAAAGCAATGGTGAAACATGGCCAGAAGAGGGCAAACAATCCCAGAAACACGTCATTAACCTCGTGCTTGAAAAGAAAGGCACCTTTCAAAGAGAAGACATAAATTAACAGTAACTCACGGGCGGACACTGTGCGAGTTTATCAGCTGCCACCATCTGAACATTAAGGTGTTTGGCCTGAGATTTCCCTCTAGATTTTATTAACCTCTGTAAAACCTGTGAAAAATAAGACATTAATCAAAGTGACTGGGTTCAGACTTGATGTACATATATAACCACTTAAAATGTCAACATTTTTAACTGTCCACTGAGCAGATCAAATTCTTCATTTGCTGGCTTCAGGAGCATTTCCCATGCTGTTTACATTCAGAACAAGCTAATTTTAATTTATTTCCCAACATCTCCCTTCCTGTTATGAGCACTAAAAAGTTCCCCTCTTATTTTCCTCTGCTGCTTCTGGTTTTGTTTGTTTCTAAGTTGAAATTCTTTAATTGCTCTATTTAGTTCTCTTCCCATAAACACTCTTTTCTTTCAAATGTCTCTTCACAAGGTCCATGCAGGTTTTTTCACAGAATGAAAGAGTACATTATCAGGAGATGTTAAAGCTTATCAATCAGTATGATATTCATTATGTGAAAATTTTTCTTTCATTCCTGTATTATATATATTTAACAAACTGTTAGTATTACTTACGTGACTGATGCTAAAAGTACAATCCCAATTTTAAAAGCCATTAGAGCTAAAGCATCTTTTCCAAAATGGGTTTTGGTAACACTAGAGCTAAGATACTTTTTTGATTGATAATATTTCACCATCCAAAGGGAAGCAATAACAATGCAGAGTTCTGAACTTTAATGAGGATATGTGATTATCTGCATTTAAGAAAAAAAAAAAAAAAAGAGAAAAAAAAAAGACTGAAACAGCATGAGTATCAGTAAAATATTTACCTTAGGAGAAGAAATCTTTACGTATACTATAATGGGAGCCAGAGAGGTTTTGCTTAGTTGAGCTGGGTGGTTAATGGTATCAGCATCAAGCACTACCAACTGCAGTGTCCTTGCTAATTCAAAAATCCGTTCAATTTCACTTTGAACTTCAGCTGCAGGTAAGTAGAAAATTAGAGTTATGAAAATATTAAAAGGTAGTTAGTTTTAAGAAATGTAAAAATGTAGTAGACTGGTGTGTTGCTCCTCCTCAGATTGGCAGGAGTTGTTAGCCGTGCATGTCTCTGGCACGCTAGGGAAATGAATGCAACGTTAACGAGAGCAGTTTGCCCCCGGTTTGTTGCCCTTGCAGGCAGCACTGCCTGCCTCTCTCACCTCCACCACTTCCTGCAATCCCAGCCTGCAGAGACACTGTTAACACTTTCTTATAAGACCCTAGTCCATTTATGTAAGAAAAAGAGGTAGGAATGCCTGCTGCATCACATGGTAATCTTACTATGCCATTAATTTCATACATGTAAATAATTTCAGCTCAGACTTTAATCCCATGTAGTAATCAATTTGCTTAAACTGGAGTGCCCAAGATAGGCATTAAGATGTACTGAGGAGTCTATCCTAGCAGAAGCTCCTGTTTTTCCATTTACTCCAATTTATGAAAACTCCGGAAAACAAGAGTTTCCTTCATATACTGGCCTCAGTATGGTACCATGTTAAAGAGTCAATTACTATGTGTAAAACACTTTTTTAAAAAAGTAACTCAATAACCCAAATAATGTTATGGTATCCTCCTCACAACCCCAGGAGTTCTGGGAAGTTGCTTTTCACAGCAAAAATCATCTTGTCCTCTGACAACACCCAGCTCCTCAGTACCCTGCCTGATGGCAGTAGTTTCCAAGGCAAACTTCTCCAAGACAGGTGGACTGCATCTGCTTTCACAACTGATGTAGAAACTGTCTTCATTCCCAAATTAAACAAAAGTAAATCTTATAACAGCAAAATCATCCTTGAAATGGAATCACATTTTTCTGCTTGTATCTTGCTATTGGCTGACTTCACAGGGAAATTACAGAAGTTGGGTGATTTGTGCAAGTCTATAAAAACAGTTATACAGCCAGACAAGATCATAATTCACATAGGTTTCCCTCTAAAGGTTGTGCACACTCCATGAACCAAAACCAGATTAGATACCTAGCCAATTCAAAGCAAATATTAGAAGATAACCAACAGAAACTTAAAACGCCAACAAGAGGTACCAAAAACTTATTTATTTACTATCAGCATTTTACCTATTATGCTGGCAGAAGCATCACATTTGCTTGAAGATGAAGACACAGCCTACCTGATCTGGCCAGAGAGAGTTTTCTATAGTGAATGGTCTCTTTCAAGAAGTGTGAAGAGATTTATTTTTGTTATCTTAGAATAGCAACAGAATAAATTATGTACCATGATAAGGTTGCAAAATTTCTAAGAGAGACCAAAGCATCCCAGATAGTCTCCACTTAGCTCAGAGTCTTTTGGTTCAAAATCAATAGGTGACTACTACTACAGTCATTTTATAAATGAAGTAATATCTTAAATGGACATCAGAAAATCTATATATTATGTTCTCTATTGGAGAAGGTTGACACTCCTTCAGATCTATTCGAGATCACCTTTATCTATTTGTAGTTACCTCAAATTTTGGCTGAGTACATGCCAATCAGTCTTTTACAGCAGAGAACATTGCAAGATGTGCACCGCATGCTGGTAGGGAGAGTGTCAGCGTGTGCTTCCCTGTTGATAAAAGCACTGTGGCCCAGCTGCTGTCTGAATTAGGACCACATTTTTGAAGACAGAACTTCTGATGGTCCTTGGCACATTCATGATTACATTTTCTGCAACTTCGTTGCATAGAGATATTGTTGGAATGACTGCATGCCATTGTCTCAGTGATTTAGTAGAAGACAGTCAATAGTCTATCCTTAATTTAAGTCCAAATGACAACTAGAATAAACATATCAGAGATAATTTGTCATACTGTTCTGATGATGAGTTTGGATTGCTTTCCTGCAATTTCAAACCAGGCTCAACACTTCAGTCAGTGTAACAATATAATTAATGTATCATTTTAAGACAACTGCAGACTGCTATAAACCCTTAAGACAATTTATAACCAGTAAAATCTGTCTTTTTGCTAGTGTATCATAATTTTGTCTGGGGAAGTATTATTTGCTACACTGCTGGAAGCACTTTTTTGCCAGTATAGAATACATCTCTGTGAACTAGATTTCCTGCTGTACTTTTTGAAACAACTCTTTGCCAGGGCAGAGTATGCCTCAGGGTATCTTCTATTGTGAAACATACCCCAGGCAATAATTGCAGGTAACTATGGTCCTATGAACCCACAGTTTCCACCTGAGTCTGAAGACAGAGAGATATATTTTCCTTCAATTAAAAAGTATTTCAGAATTTATGATTCTTAATTTGAGTATAGGAGAAAAGTTCAAGGAACTACACTGCATGGTTGATGGACTAGTATGTTGTGCCTCTATCTCTGCAGTCAAGAATGGATGGAAAAAATGCCACAGAGATTGCCAAAGAGGTCTTGACCTCCTGTCCCTTAAACTACTTCTTCAGCTTCTGGAAAAGCCTGCATTTTGCTTGAAATCTTCTTTGTATTCTAACTTTTCACTACACATAAGATTGTTGCAATTAATTAATCCTAGTTTCTCTTTTTAGATGACAAAGGCTTCATTTTATCTACTGTTGCAGCTTTGGTTTTCCTCTTTCTTTAGCAATATCTCTCAAAAACCAAATTCTATACCTGTAAAGATTCCTTCCCAACAAGACACAACACAAATTTTCTCTCAGACTTTTGACCAAAGTAAGTAAAGAACCCTAAAAGTCATGTGGGGACCATAACACAAATGTCACTGGTAGTTAAAATAGGGAGCTGAGAACAGTGACAGTGTGGTATCTCCAAAGCAGCACAATACCAATCTTCCCACCTCCATTAATATAATCTATTTATAATACTGTCTCTTCTGATGTCCTGGAGAGGCATAACAGTGAGGCTGTAAGAGTTAACTTTAATAAATTATATTTGCCAATCATAATGAGAGGCATAAATATAACTAGATGTACTGTGACAATCATCATGAAATGCTGGCAGCTACAACACTCAAACCCAGAAATAAGCTATGAAATTTTAAAGTCACCCTCACAATCTATTTGATATGGCCTCCTTGGTAATCAGAAAGGGAACATATTTTAAATGACAGGAGCACTCAACTACTTACTTCATATAACAGGGTGTCAACACCAAGAAACAAGGAGTACACATCTCCTAGCCAACTTTAAATATTGCACATTTAAACTTACTCCCATATATTGATTGCAAATATCTCTACTGTACCCTGAAATGAATAGAAATTCAGTGCAATGATAGCACAAGTAAATGGCTTCTCCCATTTTGGGGGCAGACAAATTTTCTTTACACTGGTTGGACCTTAAAAGTGAATTTCAAGCAAAAATCTTTAACAGTTCATTACAATAATCTCATCTAAAGTGAAGGCAAAGACACAGCAACACTGCATTGCATCTAAGTCAATTCAGTAATAACAAGATGAACTGCAGTGGAATTTAGAGTCAAATATACAATGCCATGGTAATAGAACCTTCTCTACACAGTTGGAGAAACACAGTCCTCCTTCAAACCTGGGCAGAAAGAATCCATAGCAGCCAGGAGTCACTGGGACACCCAGCTTGACAGAGCAGTGGCTACATCAGCTCTATGCTTCAGAAAGACCCTGACGAGATGGCAGTTTTCTGATGGGGATTTGATGCAAAATGGCCACACTTCTGGCCTGCAAAGGCCAAATTAGAAACCACAAAATATTGCTTGTACGCAGCAAAGAGGTTTGATCTTCAGCAG